TCCTGACGGTTTACGGTGTATGTAAGTTTTACCCCCCGCCAAATAAATACCCCCTTAAAACATAACTGGTGTGGGATTGATTCGTTAATACAGGAGTCTATGAGCAACACTATTTAAGAAAAAGAGATCTCTGTGAGCTCGCAAGTTCCAGGACAGCCAGGGTTACACAGAGAAACCCTGTCTTGGGGACAGGGAGAGAAAAAAAAGGACATGAAATTGGGGAAGAGTGGAGAGGTGGGGCTGGATCTGGGAGGAGCTAGGGATAGGAACAGAGGTGACTGTCGTCATATGGAATTCTCATTGTTCCCATCAACACATCATAAGGAGTTCTCAGAGAAGCAGCACAAATCTATTTTTAAAACCCACAGGATGGCCAAGTGTTCTGCGTGCAGACGTGAGTGGTGCAGTGGTGAAGCTGCACGCGAATTTGTAGCTGTCATCCACCCCAGCTGAGCCCGGGGCAGAATTCAAGCTGCAGGGAGGGCTCCTGCAGCTTTTCAGTTTTTTGCTTGGTTGCTATCGGCCATTTTCAAGTATCAGTTAATGAATGTGACTTAAAATTTTTCTTACATAAGATCTACTTTAGGATATAGACAAGCCCTGCATAGAGAGAAAATGTACACAGAGTAAAAGTCATGTCTTAAGATGGCAGAGCAATACATTTTGCTAAATACATACACCTGCATGGTCATTCCCCCAGAAAATTCTTTTTCTTCCAGTTTTTTTTTATGTTTTTTATTGATATTTATTGAGCTCTATATTTTTCTCTGCTCCCCTCCCTGCCTCTCCCCTCTTCCCTTCAATCCTCCCCCAAGGTCCCCATGCTCCCAATTTATTCAGGAGATATTGTCTTTTTCTACTTTCTACTTCCCATGTAGATTAGATCTATGTAAGTCTCTCTTAGTGTCTGCATTGTTGTCTAAGTTCTCTGGGATTGTGGTTTGTAGGCTGGCTTTCTTTGCTTTATTTTTAAAAACCACATATGAGTGAGTGCATATGATAATTGTCTTTCTGGGTCTGGGTTACTTCACTCAATATGTTGTTTTCTAGATCCATCCATTTTCCTACAAAATTTGAGCTGCCATTATTTTTTTCTGCTGTGTAGTACTCCATTGTGTAAACGTACCACATTTTCCATATCCATTCTTCAGTCGAGGGGCATTTAGGTTGTCTCCAGGTTCTGGCTATGACAAACAAACCTGCTATGAACATAGTGAGCACATGTTCTTGTGGCACAGTTGAGCATCTTTTGGATATATACCCAAAAGTGGTATTACTGGGTCCCAAGGAAGGTTGTTCCCTAATTTTCTAAGAAATCGCCACATTGACATCCAAAGGGGTTGTACCAGCTTGCATTCCCACCAGCAATGGAGGAGTGTTCCCTTTTCCCCAAAACCTCTCCAACGTAAGTTGTCATCAGTGTTTTTGATCTTGGCCAATCTTACAGGTGTAAGATGGAATCTCAGAGTTGTTTTAATTTGCGTTTCCCTGATGACTAAGGATGTTGAACATTTCCTTAAGTGTCTTTCAGCCATTTTAGATTCCTCTGTTGAGAGTTCTCTGCTTAGGTCTGTACTCCATATTTTTTTTATTGGATTATGTGATCTTTTAATATCCAATTTCTTGAGTTCTTTGTATATTTTGAAGATCAGACATCTGTCTGATGTGGAGTTAGTGAAGATCTTTTCCCATCTGTAGGCTGTCAGTTTGCCTTGCTGACCATGTCCTTTGCTTTACAGAAGCTTTCCAGTTTCAGGAGGTCCCATTTACTAATTATTTCTCTCAGTATCTGTGCTGCTGGGGTTATATTTAGGAAGTGGTTCCCTGTGTCAATGAGTTCAAGTGTACTTCCCACTTTCTCTTTTATAAGGTTCAGTGTGGCTGGCTTTATGTTGAGGTCTTTGATCCATTTGGACTTGAGTTTTGTGCATGGTGATAGATATGGGTCTATTTTCATTTTTCTACATGTTGATATCCAGTTATGCCAGCACCACTTGCTAAATATGCTTTCTTTTTTCCATTTGATATTTTTTGCTTCTTTATCAAAGATCAAATGTTCAAAGATGTGTGGATTAATATCCGTGTCTTCTGTTCATTTCCATTGGTCCTCCTGTCTGTTCTTATGCCAGTACCAGGCTGTTTTCAGTACTGTAGCTCTGTAGTAGAGTTTGAAGTCAGGGATTGTGGTGCCTCCAGAAGTTCTTTTATTGCCCAGGATTGTTTTGGCTATCCTGGGTTTTTTGTTTTTCCAAATGAAGTTGAGTACCTTTCGAGGTCTTTGAAGAATTTTGCTGGGATTTTGATGGTCATTGCATTGAATCTGTTTTCTTCCAGTCTTATTGAGATTTACCTGATAGGTCAAAACTGTATAGAGCCCCTTATGTAAAGCAGTATAGAGCTGGTATGCACACATCCACCCATACACTTTGAAGCACCTCCAGGTAACTTGCATCACTACGGCAATGCACTGAGATAAACCCTTAAGTGTAAAAACTCTGGTTCTCAACGTATGAGTTGGTACCCCTGGGAAGCGAATGCTGCTTTTAATGGGTTGCCTAAGACCATCAGAAAACACAGATTACGAATATTACGAATCCCTACAAAGTTATAGTTATGAAGTAGCAACGAAAATAATGTTATGGTTGGGGACACCATGACTTGAGAGACTGCATTAAAGGGTCACAGCGTTAGGAGTGTTGAGAACCACGGCAAGAAAGGAATGACACAGGCTGACTTAGGGCCAGGCAATTTAGGCAGAGGCATGTGGCTATTGTGTTACTCTTTACTCTTTTGGATTGGGTGGGGGGGCGGGGGGCGGGGGGGCACCACCCAGCTCCCAAACAGATCACACACAGAGGCTTATTCTTTGTTATGAATGTCCGGCCTTAGCTTGGCTTGCTTCTAGCCAGCTTTTCTTAAATTATCCTGACTAACTTTTGCCTCTGGGTATTTTTCCCTATTTCTGTGTAGCTAGGTGGTTGGCCCCTGGTGTCCTCCTCTCCTTGTTCTCTGCTCTCCTGTTTCTCCTCGCTTCTCTTTCTGTTTAGACTCTGCTACCAACCCCGTCTATCCTTGCTCCCGCCTCGCTATTGGCCATCCAGCTCTTTATTAGGACCATCAGGTGTTTTAGACAGGCAAAGTAACACAGCTTCACAGAGTTAAATAAACGCAGCATAAACAAAAGTCACACACCTGAAAATAATATTCCCCAGCATGTTACTGAGGAAACCTTGGGCTGAGAGGCAAAGAGAGAGGGGAAAGAATCAGGGGCACACCCACAATACGCTACCCTCTGTCTATCAGCACCCTACTTACCCTCCCCCACCTCCCAGCCCCTCCCCCCACCCCTCCACCCCCGTGAAGGTTCCTACACCTCTGGCAGCGCCACAGGCAAAGTGCAGACGCTGCTTCTTTGCGTCTGATTGGCTGGCTCGTTGGCTCCACAGATGCACAACTGCAGAGAGGGAGCTCTGACTGAGTGCAGGGAGTTTGTGTCCCCTTCCTGGTTGTCCCTCACACTCAGTGGCATGCGCTGTCCTGATTTCTAGCATTGTAAGTTTTCTTCAGCTCACGACAGCGGGATCGTGCAACGTGGCTCTCTGTAGAGTCGTCTGATTGATGGGAGTGTCTCAGTGTTCTTTTTAACTGATGCATGGCATGCCTCTGCAGGACCACACTGAATTTCATTAATCCTTTATCTTGTTGACAGTTAGGTTTCTTCAGGTTTTTACTACTTACGAATTAAGCCAATGTAGCTGTTACGGTCATGTGGTCTCGCGACAGGTAGAACCACAGCTTCTGGGTGAACACCTACCTGGGAATAGAGCGGCAGATTTTAGATGTGCTTAGATGGACACTAGGTTTTCCGAAGTTAATGCTACAAAATATTCCCGCCTGCAAATTATGAAAAATTCAATTGCTACTTGCCAACATTCATTGCTAAAATCCCTTCCCTGGAGAATACATGAACACTGTCTACCCCTCCTCCTAAGGTCCCAATGACAAACTGAGGCAGGAGCCCACCGAGCCCACCCTAGGGAACCAATGAGTTTATCAGGGTTACTCCTAGAGCCTGGGTGAAGGGTTACACTAAGGACTGTGAGTGACCCCAAAGTGACCACATTAGAAGGCCTGCACCCCGCGTGGATGATGACCAGGTCACTGTGTCTTCATAGCTTGGTTCCTTCCCAGCCTGCATCCTCTAGCCCATCCCGAGGCCGTGCGCATTCAGAGCATAATTGCACACAGCTGGCTAGGAACAGTGTATTCAGGTAAGGGTTCATGACCCTCCCTACCCCCTCCTTCAAGGAGGGAAGGTCAGCAGTCCACAGGCTCAGCGGGGATGAGCTTTGTGAGTGGGCACAGCAGAACTCGTGGGGACACAGTAGCTGGGCTCGGAGGAGAGTCCTGAGCTGTGTTTGCGCTGTCAGACTTTAGTCTCAGCCATTCTACTAAGGACGTGGCGTCTCACTGAGGTCTGAACTGTAGTTTGAAATGGGCGATGCGAAACCATTATTGTATCCTCGGGGCCGCTCTCATGTCTTCTGTGATGTGCCATTGCAAATCCTCTGTTTTTACTGCACGGGTTTTACTTGTGTTATAGATTTTTGGGAGTGTTTAACTTGTTAAGATACAGATCCTTTCTTGGCTACATTTCCATCCCTGAGCTCACAACTTGTGACCTCTTTTTTTTATTAATAGTTATTTAGATAGGCAGGCTTTTTAATTATCGACAGCATCCAATACATCAATGTCTCGGTCGAGTTCTCTAGAGAAAGAGAACCTGATAGAATGAATGTGTACAATAGTCAAAGGAGTTTGCTGTTGGGCTTACGTGTGATATGACCCTTGCGGCCCAACAATGACTGTATCACACCTGAGAGCCTGAGAACCCAGTAACTGTTCAGTCTGGGAAGCTGGATGTCTCAGCAGTCCCAGCCTGGCTCTGGAGACCTGGAGGATTCCTCGAGAGCTGATGGTTGTCAGTCTGTGCTGGAATCCTGAAGAAGTAGGTTCTAATACCGCTGAAGGAGCGCCTCAGTGGCAGGACTCATCAGTGAGAGTAGAGGCAAGTAGGCAAAAACCAAAGATTCCTTCTTCCATGTTTTCCTATCAGGCCTGCCACCAGAAGGGTCACATTTAGGGGGCAGGGGGCATCCTGCTGCAAATAATTTTATCAAGAAAATCCTCCCAGGAGTATCCAGCAGGTTGGGTTTTAGTTGATCCCAGAAACAGTCAAAGTGACAGACAAGGTTAGTCACCACAATCAATTTATTTTGTTTGCTTGATGATTTTTATGTCTTTCCTATGAAATGTTTATCTGCTCAAGTTTAGGGTTTTCTCCTATTTAAAACAAGTCTTATGGCTGTGGATTTTATATTCAGCCTATGATCACCTTGAATTAATGTTCCGTGTGGCATGAGATGGGCGCTCCCTAGGACTCTTTTCTCCCCTCCATGTATGCTATCATTGTCATACCATTGTCATGTCATGTCATGTCATGCGTAGAGAATTTTCATCTTCCTCTACAGAACAACTCTTGGCACTTGTACAAAATGCATTATCAAGACAAACATTATCAAGTCGAAGTCTTGGCATACAGGGAGTAGAAGCATGGGAACCCTAAGTTCACAGACACCAGCATGAGCGACATGAGCCTGTTTTTCAGCATACACTTGCACACATGCATGTGTGCACACCAAATGACCCACAGATATGTAGGGTGTGCATTCGTCCCTCCCTGTTGTAGTTCACGGCTGCGTGTGTCCATTTTTACATTTTTACAATACGCAGAGTTATCCCAGCCTTCTGAAAATAGCAAGCATATGACCCAACTCTTCCTTTTTCTGGATTATTTTGTTTATCCTAAGCCTTTGAATTTCCCACATAATTTTTTCTTTCTAGACAAGGTCTCAGTCTCCAGACCAGGGTGAGCTTAAATTCACAGAAATGTGCCAGCCTCTGCCTCCCAAGTCCTGGGATTAAAGGTGTGTCTTATTATGCCTGGCTACCATATAAATTTTGGAACATCATTTCTGCACTATAGTATTCACCAAAACATTCATAAAGTCAGCCTAGATTTCACAGACCACCCTTCTGCTATAGAGGTTGCGTGAGGACAGAACCCAAGGCAGCTGCATCTGAAACAGTCCACCTTCTAGCCGTTAGACTCTGAGTCCTGCCAAACACAAAGGGTGACACTTTCTGTGGTAGCCACACTTCTCAAGTTGTGCCCAGACGCCTGGCCAGAAGCAACTTCAGGGAGAAAAACTGTACGCCTGGGTGTGGGGGTGTGGCCTCGGGTAGGAGGCGTGGCCTCAGGTAGGAGGCGTGGCCTCAAGTGTCCAACTTGAGTGTGGTGTTGCTCACTCAGCAGCGGAGAGAAGACAGAAATATGGGTGGACTACAATGGAAAGGCCTTTTCCCCAGAGTTCCACTTCTCCCAACTAGGCCCATAATCTCAGCTCCACTCCCTGGAGACCAATAGTTTAAGCCTGTGGGAGACAATTTCCACCCAAACCAGAACATTCTGTTCCCAGGCCCCATAGCTTCCTGGACATCTCAAATTTCAAAGGTGCTTATAGTGTTAACAGTTTCAATATTTCAGATGTCCAAAGCCCGTTCTGAGACATAAAGCAATCTGTGAACTGTGGGTGTGAGCCCCCATACGGTCAAAGCCAGAGTTACACACCTCCAACAAATAGCGTCATAGAGTAAACACTCCCATTGCAAAAGAGAAGGATGGGGCCATAGCAAGAGGAGAGCAGACCTAAGCAAGAGCCAGCAAGGCTAACACCAGACGCTGAAGCTCCATGTCTGGCATCCGGGGCTCATGATAGCATCGCCCGTACTTCAGCAGCCTTGTGCAGCCCTAACATTGTAGCTCTTCTGCTTGTAGCACGCTTGGTCGCTCCTTGGAGCTGGCTCCCCTCCATGCCTGTATCTTTCCTAATGGACATCCCATGTTTGTGGCATCTCCATTATCCTGGAGTCTCAGCTGTACCTTCACACATAGCCCACACAGGAGTCCCACATGGGGAAGTCAATCTTGCTGCACACTGTCCATCCCTTGGGGGCTTTCTGAGACCAGAGTGCCATCCTTGGTAACACCCTCACTCTCCGTCTTGCTACATATCTTAGTTGCCATCCTGACTGGGCCTGAAACAACTCACAGACAAGACACAGTGAACGCCAGAGAGGGGTTTTCTCTATCAGCTTAACTGAAGTGGGAAGGACCCATCCTAATGTCAGAAGAACCTTCCAGTGTTGTCCAGAGAAAACAAAGTGGGGAGTGGGGTGGGGGAGCCGGGGTGTGGGGAGCTCACGTTCTTTGCAGCTTTGCTTCGCCATTGCGCTGGCAAGTTCGCCTGCCCTGTTTGCTTCTTTCAGCTTCTGATCACCACTGACACTCTGGCTTATAACCTCGACAGTCCTGTCTCTGCCACCTTCAAATTTCTCTGCATTCCATCTTCAGAGAACCTTCCATGTTCTCTCCCATTCTGCTGCTCTGCAAAGACATAGATGGCCTTAAGGCACACTCTGATAACCTCCCCAGGTCAAGATCCTCGCTGAACCCATACAGTGAGTCCCTCCCTCTGCACAGGGCAAGGTGGGTTCCAGGCAGTAGACATGCTAATCAAAGGGAGGAGGCTCATTCCTTAGCCTGCAGTGCTGTGTGCAAATTAAATCTCAAATAGGTAAACAATAGTTATGAATAAATAAAAGTACACATAAAGACATTATCCTGGTGATACAGGTTCAAGACGCACAAGAGACCGCGAGAGATGGTGGATGTTCGGGCTATATATAAGATTTGCTGTCTTGATTCAGACAGACTAGCAATAAGGAATGGTTTTTTTAGGCAAAGGAAGAGTGCTGACTGGGATTAGCTGACAATGGGAAATTATTTGGAGGTAGTGGTGTTGCGGGTGGTGTGTTTGGATTCTCTCTGCTAGAATGTCCGTAGTGTCTCCAGATCACATGACGTGATGTCCAGCAGGCACCTTTTGGGGTTCTGGCAAATAAGGACCAATCAGAGCAAACGGGATCTGCCCACAAGCCGGCTGGTGAGTGAGCTAGTGGCTGGCTGGGCAGGGAGAAGACTCAGCTTTCCATTCTTCCAGATTTGAACATTATTTTTTTTTATTTTTTAAGCAAATGCATTCGTGGAAACAGGTTTAATTTTCTTATATAAACTCTGAACAAATTTTATGTGGGAGTTTTTCACAAAGTACAAGATCCCCCAATCCTTTTAGACATATTTTCTTAATTCTAACATTTAAAACGCTGTATTTAAAAAAAAAATTAAAGAAAGAAAGACTGTTAGAGATGCACTCAATGTCCTTCTGGTCTTACCCAGAATCTCCTCAATTAACATCATTTTCTGTGCACAGTGATGCAGGGAGGTTGTGGGGCCTTTCCCTAGAGGAATTGATCTTTATTTTTTCAGAGAGCAGACAAATAAAGGCTTTCAAAATGTCTGATTTCCAAAGTACTCTGGGCGTTCTCTCCTCTCCCTCTCTCTCTCTCGCCAGCATTTTTAAAGTGCTTTCAGAAAGAAAAAAAAAAAACCGCAATCTTGGGATTGAAACAGCCTCTGCAGCTGCAGCCCCAGCTTCAAGTGGCCCACTGTTTTGGAAGAAGCGCTATACACAAGGACTTCTTTTCCCAAGGGAAAAGTCAAATCTACCCCGGTGTTCTTCTAAACAGAAAATGAAAACCTTGAGGCTGCCGCAGAACAGGGCAGGGCTGAAGGAGACCTTTGGCAGACCAGATACCAGTGGGTGGCATCTAGACTGTGGATCCTGGAGAGCTGGAGATCAGAGCCCAAAGCTGAGGGGGCTGAGATGTGCTTCTCCTTCTTAGCCAGGGATTTAGCAGGCAGGTGTGTGCATCCTTCCCAACCCCCAGAAGTATCCCACGATGGGAAACACATCACCCCACCCGACGCCTGCCTTAAGTAGTTGCTTATCTTTGGATTTGGTTTGGTGTTTTGTTTTGTTTTGGATGTTTATTAAAGCTCTTATATGCAAAGTAACCATTCTCAAACCATGGAAATATGGTTTCTCTGGATCTCAAACTCCCACAGAAGCAGCCACCTTGGGGCTTCTTTTACATCTTTGCAGTTTTGTTTTCCTTGTTTACATTATTTTAAATTGTGCATGTGCCTGAGTGCAGACACGTCAGGCGCCCTGTGGCACTCACATGTGAAGGTCAGAGCACAACTTGTAGCAATCAGCTGACTTTATCAGTATAGGTATATATGCATCTTGTCATTTTGTTTATTCAGCTTTTAAGTCCGTGGATTTCCCAATCTCAAGGTAGATCACTTATCGAAGTGATTCATACAAGGTGCGCATTTGGACTGTCTCCAGGGTTGACAATTCTCAGCAAAGCTACAGGAAATTTTGAACACCCTTAAGCTTTCCCTGAAAAGACCTATGCACCACGCTGACATAAAAAGAAAAGGCAACAACCAAAACCACTCAGAGTCCTCAGAAAGGTAACAGAAAATCACAAGTGTCCAACAGAAGTCCCTGCTGATCCCTCCACCAGGCAGAATAAAGCCACAGGAAGATTCCAGCAGCAGCGGTCCTCAGAGCACCCTGCAGAAGGCTTTGTTTAAAAAACGCCCAGGCTGCAGAGTAAAGCCTTTTATCTGGGATCTCTCCCCTTCACCTCTGACCTTAAGCTTGAAAGCCCAACCCAGATGGTTCTGCAAACCCCGCCCCACCCCCCAAGTTTAGAAAGGTCCCTCCCTTTTTCTTCTGGTTGGGAAAAGACTTGTAGGACCCAGCGACAGAGCATGAGCCTGGAGACCTCAGTGGAAGCCAAACCTCCTCCAGGGACAGAAGTCAGGAAAGACAGGGCTCTAAGGAAAATGAAAACTTTGTGTGGCCCCAGGGCCCTGCCCTGCATCCTAAGCCCCTCTGGTCAATGTTTGAACAAGTGGAAAGGGGGCAAAAGTTGTCTCTCCGCAACAGCTGAAAGAGACTCACCAACAGTCGAACCATCACAGGAACAAGTAAGCTCACCTCACAGTCCTGGGGATGTTCAGTTCATTTGGGCAGATCTGGGGTAAGCAGTTCAAACCAATTACATGTCAGGGCCATGGGCTCTGCTGAGACTATGAAATGGGATCCTGGGAGGATCCGTCCAGCTCTGCTGCTGGAATCTCCACAACTTTGATTCTGGGCTGGTGGTAAGCGCAGGCAGGGACCTCCGTGAGTCTGAAGCCAGCCTGGACGACATGGTAAGATTCTGTCTTAAAGAAACAAAAATGAAAGTAAAAGGAAGGAAAGAGGGAGGCAGGGTAGGAGGGAGGGAGGGAGGAAGAATGTTTATCATGAACACCAGTGCTCTGAAGCCCTTTACAATGCTCTACTCCATCGAATCGATTAAACACCCATTCCCAGAGGAAGCACTTCCTATTCATTTGGCCCACCAGGCACCTTTCCTGCTCATCTAATATTAATTAACTCGTGTTTCAAGTCTGAAATGCTTCCATATGGCATACAGCTTCACAGTTCCCAGAAGACAGGGCTTCACCAGTTTGGAGGATGATTCTGTGTGAGAACCTAAACTAATGAGTGGCCTGCGTCCAAGGTTCCACGCCCTCAGATCTGACTAACCACAAGTAGAACATGGAGTCAGTGACACCCCGTTAATCCCAGCACTGAGAGGCAGAGGCAGGTGGGTCTCTGTGCGTTGGAGGCCAGCCTGGTCTATAGAGCCAGCAGAAGTACATAACAAGATCCATCAGAAAGAAAGGAAGAAAGAAAGAGGGAGAAAACTGTTAGGCATTCTTTTAAGCCGACCCTCTCCGCTGACCCAAATAATTCCAATCAGACCAAATCAGACCGAATAAAAGATACCCATGTTTAATGAAATGCTCCCAGGTGGCCCTGGGAAAGCATGGAGAAGAGAAGAGAAAAAAGGGGAGACCACGTGTTCATTCTCTGGGGGACAGCTTAAATAGCCTGGGGAAATGGTCTTGACCCTCCCTGGGGAGGGGTCTTATGCCAGAAGCTGGGGTGAAGCCCCCAGGCAAACAACCCAGACTTTTTGTATAAAGGGGTGTTAGGGGACTGGGGTGATGCTTACTCCCAAACAGAAACAAGGGAGGAAATGGGTCTATATTGATACACACAGACGTTTTCTTGGCCTATTATTTCCTAAACAAACAGAACAGTGATGTGCATAACATTTACCCTTGGCATAAGACACTGGGCAATCTAGAGATCATTCAAGTATGTAGGGAAATGAGCATGGGTTCTATGCAAGCACCACCCTCTTCCTACATGTAACTTGAGTGTCTATGGCAGTGGTTCCCAACCTTCCTAACTCTGTAACCCTTTAATATAGTTCCTCGTGTTATGGTGGCCACTGCCATGAAATTATTTCGTTGCCGTTTCATAACTGTGATCTTGCCACTGTGTAACATGAGGGGCGGGCTTGTTGGGGTTTCTGGTGGGATACTGGGCGGGACAGAAACCCCAACAAGCCGGCCTTCATGTTACACCACTGTTATGAATTGTAATGAAATACCTGTTTTTCTCTGATCTTAGAAGGCCCCTGCGAACAGGTCATTGGATTCCCACCCCCACAAATGAGTCACAACCCACAGGCTGAGAAGCACTGATCTACGGGGTTTGGTGCCCTAAAGGTTCCTAGAACCAAAGAGCCCTGGACACTAGAATACTATTGTGAATATTGTCCTCTCACCAGGAGGAGAGTCTAAGCCAGCCTAGCTGCCTCCCAGGGGCTCCTCAGCAAGGTCTTTGTTACTCCCAACACTGTTGGACTGGAGGAGTCTGTCTCTAGACCATCTGCTGTTGACCTCAGAAGACTGTGTGTGAGGCTTGCAGGGTTTCAGGAGCTGGAGTAATGGTAGCAAGTGCGGGGTTTCAGGTGCTGAAGCAATGGCGTGCACTCAGCAGCGCTGTCTTTTCTTGAGGCTTGTGCCAACTCACAGGAAAGGAGCAGGGAGGGAGAAGAAGGAACTCAAAAACCTCAGAGGCCCTAGGACCCCCAGTTTTCAGAAACCTTCCCCAAAAGCAGAGTAGGTCTGTACCTGCCAAGTTATGATCCAGAATTATAGTATCTGAGAGCTAGAAAGAACTGTGGGTCGGTAACCCACCCCAGAGCATGGGATGGAGCCCAGGAAGAACTGTGGGTCAGTAACCCACCCCAGAGCATGGGCAGACAAAAGGCAGAGCCGAGGTTAAAACTCTGGAGTGAAGAGGCCCCTGTTATCAGCCTGTGTTTCAGAGCAGGGCTTCTCCATCCTCAGTGTGCATTTGAGGCCCACTGGGGAGCTTGTGAAGTGGGGTTCAGGCTCAGCGTCTGCTGAAGGTGTAAGGACAAGTGTTTAGGAAGCACGTTCTTGCAGTTAGTTCTATTGCCTACAGTCTCCAGCCACAGAAGCACGCAGGAAACAGTCCGTCCTCCATGTCCTACACTCGGGTGAAAGCAAGCCCTCTCATTCACGCAGTTTAAGTCTCAGCTTCGGCTCTTCTCCCCTGGGACCTCCCTGAACTGAAAAACCATCACAACAATTGTTTCGGTCCATTCTGCCACTGAAACTGCGTTCTGCCGATGTGTCATTTAGAGATCACAGAAGCGGCTCTGTCAGAATTTATGTGGCTCACATCTAGAGATCAGATCATCAAAGAGTAGGCACAGACAGTGTGGAGATGTCCTCTGTATAGCCTAACACAGGGCAGCTAGTGGAGTCTCCCTGTCTTCTTGAGCAGCCACTTACACCGCAGTGTCGTTTCTGGGCTCCTCTCCCATGGCCACATCTAACCCCAATTCTCTAAATACTACTAACTTATACACTTGAAAATTAACTTTCCTGTTGACAGAGCTTTCTGTCCCGCCAGTCCTACTGCCGTTCAGTCCCAAAGAAATACACAGAGGCCTACATTAATTATGAACTGGTTGGCCTATTAGTTCAGGCTTTCTTATTAACTAATTTTCACAATAACCCATAATTCTTGTCTGTGTTAGCCACGTGGCTTGGTGCCTTTTAACAGCAAGGCCTTCTCATCTTGCCTGTCTCTGGGTGACGACTTCAGACTGAGCCTTTCCTCTTCCCAGAATTCTCCTGTTCTGGTTGCCCTGCTTAGACTTCCTGTCTGGCTACTGGCCAATCAGCATTTTATTAAAACAATACAAGTGACAAATCTCTACAGGGTACAAGACCACTGTCCCACAGCACTTTTACAACATAAGAATTGGGGGAGGGGATCTTATTCAAATCAATAACACCAATGTTCCAAGTTTTAAAAAAACAATTTTTATGTGTGGTGATATGCACCCATAATTCTAGCCATCTAGGAATTACATAGAGACCTTGTTAGAAAATAAGTTTATAGAAGAGGATGGTGGCAGAGATTAATACTGGATGCTTGCCAGACATGTGTGAGTTACTTTAGCCTATATGCCAATACAGTAAGAAGACAGAATTAATAAAGGAGAGGTTTGTAATCAGTAATTTTATCTTTTGGGGGGCTTATCAGCACAGTGCCATGAACGATAAAACAAAGACTAAAATATATTGTTCTTACAACTCAAGAATCTGTAAACTATTATAAGATTATTCATCAAATGCAAAAAATAATAATTTTTAATTATGTTTTCTGGTATTGGGGCTAGAGCCTAGAACCCTGGGTTTGCTAGATACACACTTCACTGCTGAGTTACCTGACTAATCCATTTGTCTGCCCTCTCTCTTGTGTGGGACAATTCTGTATTCTGTCAATTATGTTTTAAATAAACGCTGATTGGCCAGTAGCCAGGCAGGAAGTATAGGCAAGACAACCAGACAGGAAGTAGAGACGGGGCAATGAGAACAGGAGTATTCTGGGAAGAAAGAAGCTCTTTCTGCAGTCCTGTCCAGACACCAAAGAAGCAGGATGTGACCTGCCCCACTGAAAAAGGTACCGAGCCATGTGGCTAACATAGATAAGAATAATGGACTAATATAAGTTATAAGAGCTAATACAAAGCCTGAGCTAATGGACCAATCAGTTTATAACTTATGGAGACCTCTGTGTGATTTTCTTTGGCACCTAACGACTGTGGGAATCGGACAGGAGAAAAACCCCAACAAGCAGGCCCTCATGTTACATCTCCCCGCTACACACACATTTTTGTTAGATTCGATTTTGGCTAAAATGGTGGCTTCTGAGGTGTTGACCACGGACAACACTGCTACCATCCCTGGAGTCAGGGGCTACAGAAGCAATCTGGGAACCGGCACCTTCCAGGTGGTTCTAATCCAGTCTCGAGTTAGAGTCACCAAGGGCTATGGGCATATGATGTAGGTGGGCCTTCTGTCTATGTGTTATTTTCATTGGTTAATAAAGAGACTGCCTTGGCCCTTTTATAGGACAGAAAATTAGGTAGGCGGAGTAAACAGAACAGAATGCTGGGAAGAGGGCAATGAGGCAGACGCCATGGAACCAGACACCAGGCCAGACATGCTGAATCTTTCCCGGTAAGCCACCACCTCATGGTGCTACACAGATTATTAGAAATGGGTTAATCAAGATGTGAGAGTTAGCCAGTAACTAACTCTCTAGAGATAATGAGCCAGGCAGTGTTTAAATGAATACAATTTGTGTGTTGTTATTTCCAGGGCTAAGCGAGCCGTGCAGGAGCTGGGTGGAACAGAAAGCAGGCCTGCCCGCAGCTCCACACTACAGGCATAAAAGCAGACAGAAGTGTCAGTGGAATCAAACTGAAGACCTGGATATCAATCCACACACCTCCAAACACCTGATTTAGGACAAAGAAGCAAAAATTATAAAATGGAAAAAGAAGGCATATTCAACAATGGTGCTGGCATAACTGGATATCAACATGTAGAAGAATGAAAATAGACCCATATCTATCACCATGCACAAAACTCAAGTCCAAATGAAAAAAGACCTCAATATAAAACCAACCACACTGAACCTCATAGAAGAGAAAGTGGGAAGTACACGTGAACGCATTGGCACGGAAGACCACTAACACCAGTAGCACAGACACTGGGAGCAGAAGCTTCTCAGTTTCAGGAGGTCCCATTTATTAATTGTTGGGGCCCCACAGGGTGAGGCTATAGCAACAGCCTCGTGCCTGCTGCAGTAATAGCATAGAAAAAATAAAATCACATTGTTTACCCTCCTCTATATTCCCCTTGGTTTTTCTTCATGGAAAATAATAAGAAAGCCTCATTAAAATGTTTGCTGTGCTTGTTCAGCTTATAA